TGGTAGTATTGGTGAGTGGTTAGTGAGTATTAGCAGATTAGTAGTGAGTAGTAAGTAGTAGGGCTCTCTCTCCCTTCCCTCTGTGCCCTCACTTCCGTCCCCTATGTTGTCAAATGATTAAAGTATCCTGTCCCACATGATCAAAGCTCCCTCTTTATAAAGATTCTGTGCCTCTCCCCCCCCTCTATCATCAATGCCTGTGGAGGAGCTTACCCTCGTTAACCCCTCTTTATTAATTCACCCCCGTACTCTGGTAAATCCGTCACACAGATCGTGAGAATCTTCTCTCTTTTAGTTACTGCAACACCGTCTTGGAAAGGGGGGAAAACAGAGGGAAATGTGTAAAGAAATGACGTGGGGGGGGGGGAGAAAGAGAGGGGGCTATAGTAACCAGGAGTGGGGTGGAGTAGGGGACCATCCAATGATTGATCCTATTCTCTCACTCACGCCCCAGATCCATTCACAGCCTTCCACTCATCAGGTGTGGGGGCTTTTGCTTTAAAGTGAAGTCGGATAATTGGCTTTCGGCCCCTTTGAGAGACAGATTTTCCCCTTCTTCCCCTGTAGCCATAACTGCTGTGACCTGCAATGTGCAGGACTTGGGTGGAGTTTGAAAAGTTTGTGAGCTGAACTGGATCGTGAAGCATCTCTCTGTCTCTGATATTATTATCATGTCGAGATTCATCTATTCGCGGTTATGTTAGTGAAGCTCAGAAACCTGATCAGACTGTGGCTGATGAGTCTCCATTTTGTTTGGTGGACATGAGAGATGGGAAGATGTATAAACCCACTTTTCAATGGCTGTAGCTTTTATTTGTAAGTATTAGTAATGCATTTTATTTATTTATTTATTTATTTTTCCCTGGTCAATGATTCAACAGACAGAGCCTCCAAAGCCAATCCAATGATGTAACTGAGCCTTGAAGTGTATAGAAACACTATTAACCTGCAAAAAGGACACTCTCGCACACTCTCACCCACTTGAGAGCATGTGTCTGCAGATGAAGGTGTACAAGATGAATTGATTCCTTTGCTCTCATTTCTTTTTGTTTATCTTATTTCTATCTCCCTTCCTTTGCTGCTGCTGCTTCTTCTTCTTCCTCTTCTTATTGTTTAACATGATGAATCGGAATAGATAATTTTATTAATAAAGCTCAAATGTTCACAAATGAAAAGAGTTTAGTGGTTTGAAGTGCATGCCACACAAACCCAACAACAAATTTAAAACACAGTACAGTGTGAGAACAAAAATTGGTACCAACACTCATCAGTGGTGGAACGTACACAACATTTGATAGTTTTTCAGCAATCTGAATGATTTCATGGTCAATATAGAATGAAGTTGTCCTAATTTTGTACAACAGCACTGATGAGAGCTTGAATGAATTTTACAAGGACCACATTGATTTCCCAATAACAACAACAATAATTTGACCCTTGAAAACCCTAAAGAAGTCAAGATCAAGTTTTTTTGCATAATTAGTGAGAAAATTCCTAGCTGTAAATCACTACAGCATTTTCTAAACACTTTGTTAAGTTAAGAACATGTCAACACTGGGTTCATTACTAAATGGACACAACCCCCCAACGATCTCCATCTTCCCCTCTATCAACCCATTGACACAAACTACATCTAATACTCACTCCATCCATGTGTGAATCCAGTTTCTGGTGGTGGCACCTTCTTTTTCTTCTGCTTCTTCTTCTTGGAAAAAAGATCACATTCAAATCATCCAGAGAGAAAGAAGTAAGATAAAAGATGGGATTCTTTCTCATTTTACACCTATGTGAAGTGATGGAAACTGTGGCAGAAAAGAGTCCGGAGATGCTTCTTTGTCTGTCTCTCTCTCTCTGTATATATATATATATATATATATACATATTGCTCTCTCCATTTTTTAATTCCACAAAGAATAGCATGAATTCATGGTGGTGGAAAATAGGAATCCAAACCAATGCCCAAGGCAACCATGGTGGGGACCCCACAATGATGAGAGCACACATCACTTATTGAAGGGGGGCTTTATGTTGAGCAAAGGAAGTAAAAAAAGAAGAGATGAAGAAGGAGGGGAAGGAAATGAAAATTGCTGAGAAGTATTTGTCTTCTTCCATTGTCAAATGCATACAATACAGATGGCCTCATGCACAATTCCAGCATCTGGTTTGAAAACTTGGCAGCAGCCTTTTTTGTGTTGCCTTCATGGGGAGACATCATTTGATTTGGTGTCCTACCTGGCCAATCCCCCCTTTCTCTCCTTTTCTTATTATCCCCTACTTTGCTGCCAAATTTCTCTGGCTTAACATTGAACATGTATTTCACATTGGAAACATGACCATAAAATAAAACTACAAACAAAAAACACAGGATTCCTCTTCCTTACCATTCCCCTGCTCTGCTGAAAAGGGATATAATTATCCAGTCCTGAATCCAGAATCAAGCTTCCCACAGCACACACATTTGTGTTTGTTTGATTGTGGGCAAATATACATATATATATATATATATATATATATTTATATACCAGTGTACGTATATATCCATCCTCTTCATGCCCTTGAAGAGGCACATCATGGAGCCAATAGGGAGGGTGGAATGATACATATATGCAAAAGTGATGTGAGGAGGTTTGGGTCCAGCTGGAGGGACAGGGAGCAACCCTATTTTATATCCTTAAAGAATTATGGGGAGAGAGAAGGAGAAAGGGCACTGACTACTAACAAAGGATGCCCCCCCATTATCCCCCTGTGGTGATGGCTTGGCCCTTTTGGAGAGGTCTAAAGTTAGGGTTTGGAGTGTTGTGGGTGCTGGGAATCAAGCCAGGCATTCTGTTTCCCATCCTTCTTCTGCTTGTTACTCCACTGCCTGGGCCCCAGGGCCATTGCTTGCTTGCTAATGGGGCATCTTCTCCCACTACTCTCATTCTTCCTCCCAATTTGTTGGGCTGAGGTTGGATGAGTTCTGAGTTTCTGATGCAGGTGGTTGGACCCCACATTGCCCACTCTGCATGTGCCCATGCTCTCATATACATTGAAATGTTCAGTTGACATCATCACCCTCTTTAGCACACACTCTGCCATCCAATTAACTTGTGGAGATTCACAAGCATGGCACTGCTCTCACACAATCTCACCCATATGGGCTTTTTCCTTTGTTTCAATGTAAAGAACATAAACCCATGTGGTTTGAAAGTTACACTGTGATTCATGTTACAGAACAAAAACATAATTGGATGTTGAATTTCAGTTCATGAATAGTTTGCAAATGGATGTGTGTCATGGAACAAGGGAATTTAAGAAAATCAAAAGGTAAGAAAAAAAAAAACAAATATTTCTGAGCTGAAAAGTTCCAAGCATGAAAGATTCTCAAAAGCGTCCTTTATGTTGAAACAAGTTTTCTAATTTTTTTAGAAGATGAATATACACTGAGTAAGAAACCCACAATAAACCTTGATACTTTTGTGTAATTATGCAGTTCCATACAAAATAAACTAATCAGACTCACCAATGAAGACAACTCTCTCTCATACACAGTACTTTTTTTATTAAATAAATAAATAAATAAATAAATAAATAAATAACAAAAATCACACTCCTTTATCACCAGTAATCTGAAACACACACATGCATCAACAGGTTGACATAATGATTTAATCCCCCCCCCTTTTATTCTTTTATTTTTTTATTTTTTTTCTCTCTCTCTCTCTCTCTCTCTCTCGAAGACTTTCATTTCTAGACTTGGTCCAAGAAGTGAACTCAAGTGAAAAGTCAAAAAGGATGGATTCAGTGGGCAACACTTCAAACACTAAGAAGAAACACAGCAAAACAAGCACTTGATGGATAGTGATACCACGACAAAACAATCTCCTCATCAACAAACTAATTTAAGTATCTTGTATGTGAAACAGAATTGGCACAGGATATGAGCAGAAACTCATATCCTCCACGATGTAAACTTGTTTCGATTATTTTTACTGTTTCGATTATATCCTCCACGATGTAAAATTGTAAATTTCCTTCGATTATTTCTATTTTCGCCGAGCGACATCTACAATGCATCCAATCAACACACGAGCATACATGATTTCGTGACCAAAGGCTCCAACAATTTTGTCGCTTTAAGAGCCCCGCCAGCGAGTCATGGGCACAACGTAAGGAGCGAGCAGACTGATTGACATAACAAGCGAATTTTGCAGGAGCATGCAGGGCAAGCAACGGCAGCAACACAACCAAGAGGGTGCGGAGGAGAAGTTCCGTATTATCAACGTTTAGAAGTCTAGCCACTCTCATCTATTCCGAGACCCATTTGGGGAGGGCCAAAAATAACCCTGCGCTCATGATGCCACCACTCATTAGCTGTGGAACAAACAACGGCCTACCACTACTACTACGACGACGATAAGGAGGACTAAATCGGACGTAGGAAAATAACGCTAGAAGAAAACAAAATCAGCAAGCAAATAAAGGAGGAAGGAAGAGAGAGAGTAGAGAAGAGAGAGAGATGGCGATGCTAAAAATGTCTGAATGGGGCAAAGACAGAGGGTGCTACAGATGATGGCCAAATAGACCAGGGGAGACAAATTTGGCGGGGCGGAGCGCTTGGGTCGGGGGAGGCCGAAAAGCCAAAAGTGAGGAGGAGGACCAGAAGGGGGCAGGGGACACTCCTACACCAGGGGAGGAGGCAAACCAACCAACCGTCCAACAGTTGGCTGTACCAAAGATCCGGCATAGTGTTGGAAGGAAGGCAGGCACAGGCAGGAGGGAAGGAGAAAGATGAGATCAATTCTGAGTTGTCTCAAGACGGAAGAAAAAGACAAGGGAAGGGAAGGAAAAGAAGGAGTAAAGAAGGAAGGAAGCAAGAAAGAAAAACAGAAAAGGGAATTGGGGTTCCAGACACGACCAGATTGGCTCATCTAAGGCCCGCCGATGTCGCGGGTCGGATGGGCCCGGCCGACCGGGCCCGTGATCGTCAGGCTGGACGACGCCTATACCTTCCCACTGCAGGCCCCCGCAGCTCTCTTCCATTCCAGTGTCGCAAGTCATCCGTCTATTGTTGTGGGATTGAATGTCGCGCATACTTCTGGTACAGAATTAGGTCCTTGGTTGTGAGTGATACGCTGTGAGCGGGTTGCCTGTGGGGTGGAAAGTCCGGACGGGTTTTTTTTCTCAGAGTGGACAGTGAGTGTAGAAGGCTAAAACTGTGGAGGTTGGCGTGAGGGGAAGCTTTGGTTACACCATGGAGGAGATTATGCTGTGAAGCGGAGATTGGTGTTGTAGGAGGGGAAAACTGGAGCGGCTGGGGGGCGGGGGGAGGGTGGGAGTGTAGCGTGGCGTTGGGGTAGGAGAAGCATGACGACGATGATGGAGGGAGGCGTTAGAGCGATGCACGAGGAGGCCCACAGGATGAGGGCCATGGCCAACTATGGGGCGAGCTTGGGCCTGGGCGTGGAGTTCTCCATGGTGAACCGAGTCGGGGATGGTGGTGGTCCGCGGGCGTGCCCCGTGCAGCTGGATCTCCTGCCGCTGAGGCCTTCGTCGCAATCGAATTCGAACTCGCAGGTGACGGCTCCGTCCGTGCCGTCGTCGACGTCTTTCCGGGGGCTGGCTTGGCAGCCGCTGGTGGGTTCTCGGACGAACTCTGGGAGCGGGAACGAGGACGGCGAGGTGACGACGTATACGAGCGGGGGGCGGGGCGGGTCGCCCCGGTGCGGTATCGACGTGAACCAGATACCGTCGACCGATGGAGAGGAGGAGGCGGCGGTGTCGTCGCCGAGCAGCATCGGGATGAAGCGGGGACGGGGGAAAATTCAGCACGAGTTTGATCTGGAGAGGAACGCGACGGGCGAGATGAGCTCGCGAGGGGGCAGCGACGACGAGGACGAAGGGACGGCGCGCAAGAAGCTGCGGCTGTCGAAGGAGCAGTCGGCGCTGCTGGAGGAGAGCTTCAAGGAGCACAGCACGCTGAACCCGAAGCAGAAGAACGCGCTGGCGAAGCAGCTGGGGCTGCGGCCGCGGCAGGTGGAGGTGTGGTTCCAGAACAGGAGGGCGCGGACGAAGCTGAAACAGACGGAAGTGGACTGCGAGCTGTTGAAGCGATGTGTGGAGACATTGACGGAGGAGAACAGGAGGTTGCAGAAGGAGCTGCAGGAGCTGCGAGCGATCAAGGTGGCGCCACCGTGCGTGATATCGCACGATTTCTACATGCCTCTGCCCGCGGCGACGCTGACGATGTGTCCATCATGCGAGAGAGTAGCGACGGTGGACAACAGGTCGCTGACGTTTGCGAAGCCAGGATTTTCACATCTTTCACAGTCAAGCGCAGCTTGCTAGGGATGTGGCAACGTGGAGATGTGGCTTGGTAGTTTTTAAAAGTTCTCACGGGCGACTTCCATTGAAGAGATCCGCTCTGTGTTGTACGATAATGTCATCATATAGCCTTACCTGCTAGCGCTAGAACAATTTTCTTTTGTTGATCTTTTGCACAGACGTGCTACTGGATGATGCGTGTATACTTCTTTGAAAAGGTAGCTTTTCCATTACTTTGTGCGTGATGAAGTCTCCATCTTCGTCTTGTTGCGCAGTCTGGCCCTAGGTTGCAAATCCTTGGCTTATATCTTACGATGTTTGTGTTTGTGAATGTGTGTATGAGATAGAGTAAGGATCGTTGATGTCATTGATTTGTTTTGTGCATCTATTTTTGAGGTTGTTGCAGGAGAGTGGTCATGGGCCTTGATATTCTGTATTTGGCAGTGTGATATGCCGCGTTGATTGTTTGTGGGCTGGGTGGGTGTTGGTACATGATTGATTTACTGCTCTTGTTCGCAATGAATAGCTGTGCCGAGACATGGTAATCAGTTAGACCAGGTCTTGCCTGCCACGTGCGTTCGCTTACTCGATTCGTCCCAGTGCTTTATGCCTCGGATGCTCCTCCGGAATATATCTTCAGACGCTCCATTAAATGTCGAATTATTTGTAACAAATTTGATATTCATGGTGTGGGATCGAGTTGGCGTTGTGGTAGTGGGAAAGTGTAAAGTAGCATTTGACTACAGTACGTTTGACAGAGGCTTTCGGACGTATTCATCCAATGCTTTGATAATACATCGTATCTATTTCGGTGCAGTCGTGCACAATACCGTATTCCCGTCGCACTGTTCAGGGCGTCGACGTGCAAGTCAAGGACACCTGCAGGATTTCTTTCTATTTCTGACGCATGGCATTGAATTAGCCCAGTTCGAGGTAGCTCGAGAGTGATTGTTGCAGAGAGAGTGAACGCACCGGCTGCTCCTCACGTCAGGGGGTCTCAACCTCGCTGGATCGTTTTCCTGCCGATGCTTTCTCAAGATTATTGCTAACCTCCGGTTTCATTCTTTGGAGATGTGAATGTCCTTAAAGGGCACTTATTTCTAACCTTTCAGCCTCGGCATCCTGACACATGATGGAATCTAGTTCCTTATTTGACCAAACTCGTGTAATAATGTGGCCAAGTCAGAGTAAAGGTATGTGGATTACAGACAAGCTCTGCAAGTCAGTGAAAACAAAAAGCCCAAGGGCCCCACAACCGACGCTGGCAGCGCAAGCTACGAGACACTTGGCCTGAGAGCTCCGAGGGGGCACAGCCAAGGCCTCGCCAATTCTTATGCCTGCTGCATCTCCGGATGAGATCCCTCCCCCTTTTAGCAACAGTTATCGATCCAATTAACCATTATCTGTATTTGTTGGTGTATACTCCCACTAATTGGGAAGCCTAAATTTTTCTTTCACGCATGAGTTCACAATATGCGGGAGCAGCTAATAGCCCACAGTAACCAGGGTGGCACAACTGGGGTCCCACCAAAGCAACATCTTCTCTCACTCAATCTGTGCCATATCCAAATCATAGCCCCACAAGCGCAGAGTAAGCCATGATGTTTTGTCTCAAGCACGATGGCGCAAGTGAGGTCGCACTTACCTTCGATGTTGCTTTACATAGTCCTTTCCTTTGCTACTTCTGGCTCTTGTTGGGGAAACATTTCTGTTTGATTGTCATACGTAGAATATCATCCAAACCGGTTCTGAGGCAAGTGTGATCTACTGTAGGATTAGGATTAACCATGTGTATCTACATATAGTGTGGGGTGTCAGGACCTGGAGATGTCTTAGCAAAAAACCAGACATGGCATGTCATCAAATTCTGTACAAAAATGTAAAGGATTGGCAATAATTTGATTTAGGTCAAGGATGACTGTTCTGAAAAAAAAGGTGAAAAGGTAGAGATCCATAATGAAATTCAAGAACATGCAAGATTTGACACAACAATGTAAAAACTATCACACTACAGGATAAAGATGGATAACCAATTAAAGATGATGTACTGAAAGGAATGCCGATGAAAGTAGATCTTAACATTAATTTTTTTTTACAGATGATACAGTTAATAACTGTAAGTTCTTATTGTTAGATATGTCATAAACCATCCAACCTAGCACTAAAACCATAATTTTTAGTATAAGTAAAAGTATAAGTTTAGGTTTCTAGCTATTATTAAAGAAGTTACAAAAATACTTCAAGGATATTTGGAAAAAAATTGAATCCAAATGTTTTGCTGCTAAATCTATATATAAAAATTGGTTGTATTAAAATTTCTGAAAGTAATTAGTAAGATAAGTGAAAAACTAAAACAAAGACATGTCTTAGAAGTGTTTTATTTTAAATATCAAGAAACTCTTCTTATGTAGAGTTTTTAAACTCCTTACAAATATCTTAATTTTTTACTTTATTTTTACATTTATTTTTTTAAATACCTTATAATAAAGATGTAGGTTACATTCTCAAAAATAATTGAACATGGTCAAATTTATTTTCTTTCTCTTTCTCACATTCTTAGCAACATTTTTCTTGTTCATAAAACCATGTATTGGACTAAAATCTTTAATCAAATTTATTATTTCTCTAGGTAGATATCATTTAAATTCATAAAAACATATCTTAAGATTTTAATTTCAAAGCTATGACTATTTAGTAATTTACATTCTTTTTTATTAAATAGTATTGAAAGAATAATGGATACAAACAAGGCTTCTTATTAAGTTTTGAAATCTAAAAGAAGACAAAATATAAACATTAAGTTGCTTATATTTTTTTTATATTTTTTTTAAATTTTATTATAGTAGATAATATCTTAAATTTCAATCTATTTTTTTTTATAGACTTAGAGAGCATATAATAATTAATACATCAAAGAAAAAAGACCAATTAAACATTAATCAATGATGATATCTTGAATATTTTTTAGATAATTATTTTTTATTCTAGATAAATAAAATAAATATTTTTAGTATTTTTAAAGATTATTTTAGACTTGTGTATATATATATATATATATATATATATATATAGATATATGTGTGTGTGTGTGTGTATATATATATATATATATATATATATATATATGTATATATGGTATTTAAAATTAAATATATTTATATTAATGATTGAAAACTTATAAAATAATACCATAATAGAAATGTTTAGTAAATTATTAGTAACTTTGTTTGACAATAATTTTAGATATAAAATTAAATGTAATTTTTTTATTTTATATATTAAAATTAAATTACTTTTTTTATATATAAAAAAACTAATTTAAAAAGATGCATGTTTGTTGTCATTTGTATTCTATGAATATTGATTTTTATCTTATAATGTAAAAAAATACTTTTTTAAAGCTATACAAACATTTTGTGCATGACAATAAAATTTTATTAAGCATAAAATGAACACAATATCTATACAAGTGTGTATTAGAATATTTCTAGATAATGAATATACAATAAAAGACCAAAACGATTAATATCTAACAGATGGTTAGTTGATTCTTATCATAAAATGAACCAAACTGAAACGAACAAATAAAAATATGATTAACATTAGACCAATAAAAAATATGTTATGCATGATATATATTCTAAAGTATAGACAACAATGCAAAGAACTATAGGAAAAAAAAAAAATTAAATTAAATTTAAAACCCTTAAAACCTTTTATATGATTTTAAATCACATATTATAATTAAAAAGTTTTTTTATACTATATAAAATATATTAAAAAAATATCAAATCATATTATTTTTTTAAATCTATAAATAATGTGATGTAAATTCATAAATTATTATTTGTTAAAAAAATTTAATAGATAAATTTGAAATACATAAAAAATCCAATATATATATATATATATATATATATATATATTTTTCATACTATTGATATGATTAGAATTAAGAAAAGCATGACTTCAAACCACATGGTCTTTATCTTATAATATTTTTTTAGAAATGTAATAGACTTATTTTTCTAATCTAATAATAAACTACAATGCATTATTTTTATTGTAAGTATATTTTTATAAGAAAAATAATATGTTCTCTTAATTCTTGAATGGTGTAAAATAAGAGTCAAAGATTGGTGTCCTATTTTAATATTATATCTTTTGATGCAAGTAAATGAATACAAAAGGTCTCAAATACTATAATTTTTTTAGTTCTTTTCTTATTTTTCTTTTCATGGCCTACTTAACTTTTATCATGTTGAATATATTATTTATTATTTTTAGAGATTTAAAATTTTAAAGTAAATACACAAAATTTAATATATATGTATATATATATATTTATGTCACGGCCATAATCATGTAAGCTAATAATTACATATAGAAATAGGTAGAAGTAAGTAAAAGTAGATAAAAGTAAGTTAATTCTATAATATTTAATATAGAAGCTTCCTAGAAACTTCCTAGACGCTGCTTTGACTTCATAGGTGTCTTTAATTGACTTTTTGGATTAGAAACGTGGTCAACAAGTTGGCCATGTGCCACACATGTTGTTAGCTTGAAGATCAAGCTAACTATGTGGCCCACACGTAGAAAAACTTGCCTTGTAAGTCAAGGCATGTGTCCTACAAAGTCAACACATATTGGAGGTCCTATAGAACGTCGCCACGTAGCCCCTAGTTAGATAGTATATATAGAGACAAGAGTGAAGGCTTCTTCACTCTTGTCAACTCCTTTCTTGCTTCTAGTCCAGGTTCAAGAGTCTTTAGTTTCTTGTCTTGTGGCAATAGCCATTCCAGTTTCCTTTTAATATACCTACTTGTTTATATTTTGACTTATTATATCGAGATAGCCTTTTGGTGTATATTTTCCCTCATCGAGTCTTTGTCCTTGACAGATTGACAAGAGTACACTTATAATATCAGAGCTTTATTTTTTCTTGAGTAAGAGTGGATTATCCCTTTCTCTTGACAAGACATAAGCGTATTAGAAGTTTGCGGATTACCCACTTCTAAACTGATATTGTTCTTAGTATCTTCTTTGTTATCAAGTCTTTCTTTTCTTTTGTCTTGAGCAATATCAAACAAATTTTTCTTCTTAGTGTCATTATGGCAGAGCTTGTTGAAATGAAGAGTGCAATGGCATAAATGCAAGAGCAAATGAGGGAGTTAATGCTTGCGATGCATCAACTCAATTCACCAACACAGGAAAGAACAAGAATAGCAGAAAG